GGAGCGTGGGAAGTTCAAGAAGATGAGGCTGGCACCTCCCTAAGGAATTCATAGTGTTGTGCCTGGCTGGCTTGGGAACCTGGGTTCAGTCTGGTGGGATTCTGACTTGAGGTGGAAGCTAATAAACACAACAGAACTGTATTTGCATTGTCTCGTGGAGTTCTTTGGGCTGAGCCTGACAGATGCAGACTTGCCCTGTATCATGTCCTTTCCCAAGTGAATCTCTGCGTAGGAATACGAAACATCCACTGAGATCTGGTACCAGTGAAGAACTTTGGTGCTAAATATCAGGGGGGAAAATCATATGAAATCACAAGACCGATAAGCAACTGTTGGATTTATTGGTAACAACAGCATTAGAAGTAAAGTTAACTCAAATCACATGAAATCAATTTTAGAAACAGTACTCATCTGATGTTATCAATCATGCAGAAACCACCTTTTAGTAGTTTTGGTTTCCTGCTGTCAGACGTATTAAACGACAACATTGCCTCAGTGATGCGCTTAACATTTCTGATTCATTGTTCTGCTCATGCATCAGACAGAGGCATTACTAACATCTAAAAACAAATAGACAAAACAGAACTTTAACTTCTGAGTCTTGCCACCCAGGAGGGAAAACGTTAACATTTGCTGTGGTTAATATTCTGTTAACTGCTACTGATAATTTCCAAATATGACAGACAGGTCAGTATTTCTTGATTGTATCTTTAAGCTTTTATCAAGATATTTTGATTGGATGAGCATACTTTGATGCATTTTTTTCTTAAACCAAAAACAAAAAGCTCAGACAGACAAAAAGACGTTACATTCATTCTGCAATGGATTAAACTTGCATCTCAGTATGGTAGAAATGAGCAGTATAATGTAACTGCATTAGAAGTCAATGGCACTTTATTCACATTTTCTGTTCTTTCTTCTTTTTCCCCCTCTCCAAATCCTCTTCAACATCATTTCTATTGTAAAAGCTTCTTCACTGGCAAACAGTGAGCTTCCTGCAGAGATTCAGCTTCCTTTGTCCTCTTCTAAAAAACCCTTGGGAAGCTGCCTACGTTTGTCCTCTCCTCCTGTACATTCCCATTTTGAACAATACCACTCCATAAATGAGAAGTTAAAACACAAGAGCAGCATCCGTTGCTCCTGTAGTCTTCTTTCCCTGTATGTGAAGAACAGTCTACATTAAAGTAAAGCCTAAAACATTTAATAACTGAGTGGTGCTGAGTCTTTACCTCCACCTTTCCCTTTTATTTCTATTGGGGACCAACCTCTGCCGTTTGCTCTTAGCTAAGTATATAGAATTAAAAACTTATAGAAGTGTGATGATGATGATGATGATGATGATGATGATGATGATGATGATGATGATGA